AATAACTAGGACCACATGAAGGTTATGAACCAATGTGAGGGATTAGAATTATGACTTACAGTTGATGGTTAAGGTTAGGAATTAGATCTATGGTTTTCATCACGAATTGACATAAATTATAATGCCAAAACTCTATTTAGCCAAATGGATGAGTGAATTTCGTGCCAAAATCCACGACTTGTTATCTTACACCTGATTGGTTCGTCCATAAAATATAGTCTCACTGCACAATTATGTACGGTTTTTCACAAAAATAATAATAATAATAATAATAATAATAATAATAATAATAATAATAATAATAATAATCAACAGTAACCGCTTTGATAGTAACAATAATATAACGAACACTATGACAGAGGTACAAAATAGAAATAGTAACGAAATTCTAATCCTACTAGATACTGGAACTGTAATAGTTAAAAAGGTTGGATATTCATTGAGAATGTCACAGAGTTTAGATATTACTAATTGTGAAATCGAAGTTTCGTAATAAGATAAGGTAAATTTTACAAGTATATTAAAGTGTAATCAAAAAAAAACTTAGGATAACAGAAACAAATCACATGTGAAATGTTAACAAGATATAAGACAGAGAAAGAACGGGTGATTTCGTGGAATTAAACAATCGAATTAATTTGCTTTCTACGCGTGGTTCTCATTCGTCTTGGTATATAGGTGGAGATTAGGAAACCAAAAACAAAAGTTCGCTACATTTGATAATCTTCAGTTCATCTTATAGGTGATTTTGAATGATGACTTGATTTAAGTTGAATGTCCCATATTCACAAGGTATTCAGTTAATTACATCATTAAGAATATACTACAATCTTTAAATATACATAGAAATTTTATTAAACCTTTTTTCGAATAGAATACTCATTTAACGACTAAAATATCTTATTCTATATAAGTATTTTTTACATTTTTTTGCATTTCAATATATATATATATATATATATATATATATATATATATATATATATATATATAATAAGCTTTATTCAATATATTTTTGGTACAATATAGAATTTTCAGCGTAAAGTATTTCAACAAGTTACCGTTTCTTTCTTCTTGGTCGGTCCTGGCGATAAATATCGAGTGATCGCCAGTTAAATGTTAGCAGTTCACTAAATGAACAACTGAATAATGTACATTCTTTTCGTTGTATATTGCCAGCAACTACATCGTCTCTTATTGTTTTTTGTAACTTTGACAACGAAAGGTTGCATACTTTTCAAAAAGGCAGCAGAATAGGTTATGCGATTAATAAACATAATGATATATTAAAACAAATAAAAATAGATAACTTGTTGAAATATCTAAATGGCAGGAACAGGTAGCCCAGATGCTCAAGCAGGCCGCCCTTTATGATTCGACTAAAGAAAACTAATCTCATAGTTGAGATGTAAAGAAAGATCTATTGACATTACCTTGTAGTGTTTTTCATGTTTAATTAGTTTGGATAAACTTTGAATCTAAAACTCATAGCATATTTAAAAACAATTATTTTAATATCATCACATGGATTAATAGAAATATAAATTTTCAACATTTTTTACTTCTTCCTTTTCGAAACATTTAACTAATTATCTGTCCTATATTATGTGGTTCTTTCTTGATCCCATTCGAAAACTTAAAATTTCAGGTAATTAAGATTTTATATTATATAGTGAGCATCATTTTATATAATCTCGAATATGTAGATAAGAGATCATAGTTAAATACAATTTCTTTTTTCAACTAAAATAAATCCTTTGAAAAATATTTATTGTTAATCTACATTGTTTTGGAATTGTAATATCTCTACTTTAATATAGTTTAATCAATTTAGTATATTATAGGCTAAAAAAAATGGTGGAATTACTTAAATTCAGTTGTGTTTTTTTTGTATACTTATTAGCCGAAACTACACATTTATCCGTAGGTGGTGAAATAAACATGCTGACATCACCCACACAATACGCGTGGCATGGGTGAGATTTCATTATGAATTATTTTCTTATCCTCTGTTAATTATCATGTGCCTTAAAATCGTCAATAGAACACCGACTTATATGACCTTGGCGCTGTGTCAAAACCAATGACGCGTTAATCAGTACAGAAGCCTAGAGTCGACTCGGAGTCCTTATTGGATCTTCTCGCCTAGCCCTGTCTATTTGAGTTCAGAACACAATTTCAACTACCACTGTATGAATCATGTATTTCAGACACACTCAGTTTCTATAAAAGCAAATCAAACCGTATCATACCATAAAACAGAAAATAACAATTATACAAGTCCAGGCCAAAAGTGGCTGTCAATGTAACTACCAAGTTGAGGATAACTTAAGAATTATAAAACGTATAATAGTTAATAGGTCAAATGGAAACTTATAATAAAAGGAATATGAATATACATATAATAGTTACTTAACAGTTATCCGATAGGAATATATGTAGTAGTAGTAGTCCATAAATAATTCCTAGCAGTTACCATTCATTTATTCTTCGTTGATATATAACAGTTCCATCCTATATTGGTACATTCCGACAAACAATTAAGCTTAAAAAAAGTGGCATATTGTATTATTCAGGGTATGGTTAGTTGAATATTATTTTGTGTTAAACCGGATGTGAAATTTTTGCGTTTCAGCACATCATGCATTAAAGCGATGCATAAAAATCTATTGAAATTTATGAACTACTTCTACAATGATAGTAGTTTGGATATTTGTAAAAATCACAACAATTGTTTTCCAGAAGGGGTTTTGTAGATTTTTTATTATAGTTGAGATCATGAGTCAATTGAAACTAGACCACCATGGAAAACCTGGAAGCACTGGACGGCCGATTCTTCCTATTGTGGGACTCCTCAGCAGTGCGCATTCACGATCTTTTTCAAATAGCTTTTTTTAGATACAGCAGCAATGAACCATTCAAAATAATTAATAAAAACAAAATTTGAACTCATTCTTAGATTGAATCACATTCATCTACTCACTTTTAATATGCTCAGTAAGTCTGACTAGCAAACGAATGACAACCCTGTATATGAGGAATTGAGATCAGTCCCCACGATCTATGGGTAACACTATCCATAGAAATTTGTGTTCCAGTTGGTCAACAAAATAAGCTAATTCATGAACGTTTGTGTAACATTTCCGGCTTGACCCATTTGTTTCATTAAAAATTAAATCTTTCACGGTACTCAACACGTTCAGTAGTGATATTTCTAGACATCACTTGGGAATGGAACAACAGGACGATGCCCCCGAATGCCCTGGTACGGCCGAGAGTGGGGAGAGTCCGCTCTCCCTCTCGAAATACTCTCACACGGCCACGCGTATATAGCCTCTGCCAGGGAAGTCCTACTCACTACCTTCTCGTGGCGGGGGTGTTGTTTACGAAAATGAGAGGACGAAAAGCGAATGTCCGGCGCTTTAACCGGATTCCAAAACAATGGTGCACATGGGCTCCAGTATCCTGCGGGAACAAATGGCGAATGAACCAATTGTTGGTCACCGGCTTCCATGGGACTGCATCTCCTTACGATGCTCCACTGCCTTGTGGATCAGACCTTTGGGTTGAAGGCTCGGGGTGTGGCCCCCTAAGATAACCACCTGCTTCGGTTTGGGCACCCGGGCAGTATCACAGCCCTCACACATATCGGATGAGATTTGTGTGGCGCATATGTATTTGGTGCCTCTTTGTACCATTATCTATGTGTTGAAATAAATAATGAGATCTTTAAAGGTGGTCAACGAAGTCTCGTTTTCTAAAATCTACCGAAGCTCTTGCTATCAAACAACTCAAACTGGCATGATAGGAAAAAGAGTCGAAATTAGATTGATATACTCATTATAACTGCTACTCAACATTAATTCCGTTTTAATTCAATGTCCTGATTACTCAATGTAGTATTAGTTTTGTTTTCCCGTATGACATTTTATTTTGTGCAACATACGATATTCTTGTATTCAATTGACCCGAACTATGGTCAACATGACATGTAGCATATGATTTGTTATAACTCTAATTATTTTTCATATATGTGATTTCATCCTAATTATTAATCAAAATGGGGGTCGTCGTCTTTTTGGAGTTAATAAACTTTCAATTGCAGTAGTTCCTCATTTTTGAGTATAAGTGACAAGCGATTCCAAAATAACAATAAGCGACAACCAGATATAACAATTACTGACGCAGTAATGACAGTCGGCCACCAGATATAACAATTGGCAACGGGGATTTCGGAAATCAAGAACATCACAACAGAAACCCAACTTGTTGCCAAGGAAACAGTCGTCATTCATTCTTTGCCCTTGTAACATGACATATTTGATCAGTTTATCCTCTTTCTGTCATTTGATTACTTTGTCGAACCATTTTTAGACTCGATTCAAGATGATAACCCAGTGAGCCTTCCTCATTTACCTCTAATTATTAATGGCTTTTATTCATAACGTTATAACCGCTCATTTTTAGCCCTATGTCCTTTGGTAGTATCAATTTCCTTTGTCCATGTGTACTATTATGATGCATAATACCACATTTCATTCAGTCATTCAACTTTATTTTAATCTTTGATACGCGTTCATATTAGCATTCAACCAAATTAATCCACGTGTTCTAAAGCTTTCTGTAATTCTATTTCAAAACAGTATATATTAAAAGCAGCTATTGATAGCCTAGTGAAATAAAATGAAGTCATATTATTCAGCTCAAAACGCTGTTCTGAAAATGACAGATAGATAAAAATTTAATTCACAGTGACGAAAATACATTACGAAATGGCCAAATCGCTTGCTAAATTACAGACAATGAATACATTAGAGTTGCAGGTTGATGAAGAGGATTAGTACAAGCACAGAACTCACCTTCAATGTCAAAACGACTTTAGAACAACACTTGGTTGTATGCGAATCGGTGTATCGTTAAGCAGAAGGACGTAAAAAGTAACTCACATAGATCATCCTAAGATTTTTGGAATAAACAATATACTTTTGATCACTTTTCCGTCCCTTGTTGCTAAGAAAAGCAGCATTTCTGATTTATGTACTTTTATGCAGATTTTATGTTGATATATGTTTCCCCGATATATTGCGGAAATAAGGGAGTACTAATAATCACTAACAAACATTTGTATTTATACAAAAAATATATATATACAGTAGAATCGATTGCCATATTTGTACAAAAGCAGTTATCCTCGAAACGATTTCACTAGAAGACGGTAGTCTGAACAACATGATGTTTAAGTCGAAAAATTTACTAAAATTCAACAGTTTGGAAACTAGGTGCATGGTCCTAATAAACAATTGAAAAAAAGAACTAAAAGTAATATCCGGTGGAATAATTAGTAATATAAAAATGAGTTTCTTTAAAATGAACCTCGAGCAATTAATTAAAATCAAGACAATCAAATTTACTTCTGTACAAAAGGTTTCATCTAACCATTAGAATACGAACTTCTTCTAATCCATCAATGAGACATAACTTAACCTTTACATGTAATTTGAATAAAGGTAATTTATTAACATAACAAAAATTTATTCTTAACACATGAATCGGAAAATACTATTCCAATTACATTTCATTGATATATTCGAATCCTGTTAGTCATAGTAATATATTTAAAATAAACTGTTTTGTTTATTTCTCTGTAGTTTTGAAGTGTGATTCTGCTATATGTTAGTTGAAATGAAATGAAGTGAGCTTACTTAAAATATTATACTAACTGATCAGAGATACTTTTCGATAGATTTACTGAGAGGATGGTGGAAATATAAACATTACGTCATATTTCCCATATTAGGAATATCTTAATTGCACGGTAGAGTAAGAAGTACTTAATCAGAACAAAGATATTTCGGGATAATGCAGACTGGAAAGTAACTTTTGTGTTATCTGCTGACACTAACCACGTGTAAAGTAACTAAAGTGAGTTGAATTTCGTGAGAAAAATGAATATTTGGCTTATCCAAAGGACTTTCCTATGTCCCTGAGCCCAACATAAAAAACGTCCAGATAAGCAGTAAGATTTTATTATGCACTGAAGAACTTGCAAGACATCAAAACGGAGAACGATGTAGAGGAATAAATGTATTCAACAAACCCTGAATCATTCACTACACAAAAATTTCAAATACTCAGACAAACGAGTAACTAAGACCTCGCTGACAAATGAGACTTTTATGTATGGATGTTTACAGACAAACGAGTCAGAAATGTGCATAATTAAGGCTACTTATTGATATAGTTTTGATAATGTGACGAAATAAAACATATCACTTGAAGCTTTTGACAGAATCAACCGTCTAATGATATAGGAACACTACCTACATTTGGTAGGATGTTTATAAATGTGAACTATGCATACTCAAATATTATCACCTGAAAAACAAAGAATAGCGTAAGTACCATGTATTGAGTAGCCTTTAAATTTATTTTAACCTCTTTAGAAGTCACACTGTGACATATTTGTGGGGTTTTGCATAGTAAGACTAAAGAACTTGCAGAACAAATTGAAATCCAGTATAAAATAATTGATATTGTTTATATTTGTTTGACAAATACTTGGTAAGATATAGGTAAACGAAAGAAATATTTGAAACAGTAACTCAAACCTCTAACAATCAAATCAGTGACCGAGAGTTGCTTTTAGATTAATGCTACACATATGAAACATTTGTTTCTCCATTTTCTACTGAAACAATATAAAAATAATCAGAATGATATTCTTACATACATAATTAAACCTAACTCACCAAGATAATCATCCATTAGAGTGCCAACGGCGAACTATGAAAAAAAAATTCAAAACACAGGTTAGGAATATCGTAGTACACAGACAAGCGTGGGTGACTTATTAAGTCTTTACAAACGACTAACTTTTATGAATAAAAGAACAACTGTAGACTACAAAACCGTAATATTGATCGAAAAAAGACAATTTCTGACCACAAAGCAATAATAATATTAACTTACAGAGAAAGAATAATATTCATTTTTACAAAGGTATGCAAGGCGAAACTTAGAACTATGACTTGAAAGACTAAAATGATATTACGTGAATATATTCGGTTGTCCTCTAGTGAGTTATGTATTTAAACACATAAACATTGGTACAAGGAGACACCCAATACATATTCGCTACGTAAATCATTCAACTTGTGTGAGGGCTGAAATACTGCCCGGGTGCCCAAACCGAAGCAGGCAAGCGAAGAAATATATGGAATTATCTTACATCTTACGGCTTAGATTATCGTAGAGGTCAGTTTCTGATAATAAATATAGTCAGGCACAAATGTGCATCAACCGAGGGTCCTGTGGCATGTCAGCAGGGGAAGATGAAATTAACAGGAAGAATACCAAAGGATTCGGAATAAAAGTAGTACCAAGTAATTTTAATTTCACAGTTCAAGGAAAAACAAAGAGTGTATACACCTACGCCATTGAGATTGATTCTGGGGCGTGTCACTCAGAGTCTCCAACCACTCGTTACGATAGTCGTGCAGACCCCAACCAATTGGTCTGCACCTACCAACATGGCTCAGACCAGAAGTTAGTGACTTCAAGGACTGATGCAACTTTTTTGTTTTGCCGTCCCTAACTTTCATCCGTCTTCAACACTAGTCAGCATTGCGCGCTGTGGTAAACGGTGGTTGGGTATGCGTAATACGTAGACCAAACATCTTAGTCGATGAAGATTCACAACCTCATCGACTGATTTATCATCATTCCCTAATGCAGTGTCCAACCTCACTATTACTTACCTGGTGATCCCAACAGATGCTGGCAATATTTCTAGGACATCTGTGATCAAAAACTAGTAACTTACGAGTATCTTCTCTCGATGGCCACATTTCCCAGCCGTAAAGTAAAACAGAACGAACTGCTGCACAGTATACTCGTCCCTTAATTAATAGACGGATATTTCGATTTCGCCGTAGGTGACGTAAGTTTTCAAAATTCAAACCAAATTTTTGAATCAGTGTAGAGATTTCGTTAGACACCAACCCATTTGGGTTGATCAGACTTACAAGATAAGCGAAGTTGTCGATACGTCCGACTACTTCACTTTCTATCCTTAGTTCAGGTGTTGACGCAGGTCAGTTCTGAAACGATAAGTTGCATTTAAAAAGGGAGGAACGCATCCCAAACATTCCGGTATTGTTGCTCAGTGCTACCAAAAGACTGCATTTTAACAGCATCTTCATCAAACAGAACTGTCATTTGCGTATTCCATATCGATTAGTGGACCTCCTGGAAGGAGATCGACCTCCGGAAATTCAGTCAACGAGAACCTTATTTCCAGCAGTAGGTCTATAATGAAATATAACAAAAACCGAGGTAGCTGATAACCTTACCGGACACCACTCGAGGCTGCAAAATCAGACGACAGCTCGCATTAGCTCTGACTTGACTGGTAGTGTTCGAGCTCGATCGGGATTTAACTGCTGCAGCTAAACATTGGTTTATAAGTATAAAATATGGACGGAACTATAATTTATGGGCGAACTAATCAGGTAAAAAATAACTGGTCTCGGATTTAGGCACGAAATTCACTCATCCATTTGGCATTTCAGCTTATGTCAATTCGTAATGAAAACCATAAATCTAATTCCTAACCTTAACCATCAGCTGTAAATCACAATTCTAACCCCTCACATTGGTTCATAACCTTCATATGGTCCTAGTCATTAGGTGAATACTCTAAAGGTCACTTTGGTGTCACTCAAAGGTCGTCCATAAATTATAGTTTCACCAAAATATATTTCCTGAAAGACCAGTAAACTGACTAAAATGAAAGACTGCTGAAAGTATGACGCGAAATGGAGAGAGGTTTCTTGATTACTTTGAAGAAGACTTGTAACATTCATTACAAATTGCTACCGAAAGCATTGTGGAGTACTAAGATTTAGATGGTGGTTTGAGGTAGTCAACAGGAATCCCTGCACCCGGGTTTCGTGCTACTTGGCACTCGTCAGCAAGGTGTACCTGTAATCTTGAGGGAACTGGTGCTCCCTGGCCGATTCGATCTCGTGTCACCCAGCTTCACAGTCAGAGACGTTACCACTGAGCTATCCGAGCTGTGACTAACCTCCTGTAGGACTGAGATGTAATCACAATTGATTGATCACTGGGTGGTGATCAATGTCATGCTTGTCTAGTTCACCAGTGATCAATCAATTGTGATTGTGGAGTACCGTTCTTGGTCAATGGTAAACAGGCATTCCTTTCGACAACATGAAACATACACTAGTCAACAGCATGTTTTCTACAGCCCAAATGTTTAGGATGATAACAAAACTTGGGTCGGTCAGTCAGTTACAAATTGAGCAGAACCCGACAAAAATGTGTCGTTCCAAGTTGAGTTGAAACAAAGGTAACCAAATGAAAATCAGAAATGTGAAGGATCAACTCATTTAGAAGTGAGGCAGTGATGGTTACATTGAATGAAATCTTTAAAATAAGCAAAACTTACGATATCACTGGCGTCAACTCTGAGACCAATTATGCGGATTCTAATACGATCTTCAATCTGTACTGTTTGGGTCTACAAGACAAACGCATAAAAATCCAGCAGTGAGTACAATATAATGGAAGAGTGGTGACGAATCTAATCTATACTATTACATGGTAAAACATACCTCTTCTTCTTCTTCATCGTTGAGACCGTCGGTAGTGGTCTCAGCACCTTCAAATTTAATATTGGAAGGGACAGACTAGAAGATGTATTAATTAATGGGTACATACATATTTAGAAATAAAAATGGTGAGAGGGCCAGCTTCCGCAAACACACCAACCTTAGTAACCTGAGTAACGATAGCATCTACGACCTCGCCCTTAAACGGCCGGTAGACGATGGCACGATATACTATACGGTACTGCACAAATCCTCTATTTGGTTGTATTATACCAGCACCAATATGCTCTATATTCGTAACAGCGATGATAAAGCCATACCTGTACATCAACTAAGAGAACAACATGACTTACTTCCCGGAGCAAGTTCCTTCGACGTCCGAAAACAACTTGGTTTTCACTGTTTCTGTTAGATTCGGTCCAAAATATTTTGGATGTAATAATATTTCATGTTCTAACTTTATCTACAAAGCGAAATACGGTATAGATAGATATGACATTACATGGTAAAACATTTCTGTTTGTACCGTCCCACTTGTTTTTCCGGGAGCTAGTGAAGGGGTCCACTAATTAATTTGAAAGCTAATTCCAACGGTTGGGCAGAAGAACCATTCCCTTATCGAGCCATTGTATTTTTAGATAAAAATTATTTACGAATACGTTGGAGCAATCCGAAACTTTAGTAAAAGAAAGCTTAAATATAATAAACTTCATTTCTGTTAGAAGTAGAACTTCAAGTTCACCCAAGTTCGCAGTTCGAAAAAATTCCGAACAGTGCAAATGACTGGAAATGGGCGACTTATATATTCCCGAAGTGCCTAGGAGTTTTCATTCCAGTCTACATTCCATAGTGTTTGATGGCAATACCGACCCAGTTTATAAGAAAATTTGGTCATTATTCATGTTTTCCAGAATTTCCTCAAATCCGTACAACCATTGGTATTGACTAATTTTTTCAGACACACCTTGATTTTATTTTTACACATAGTATGTCACTGTTTATTTTTAGGTAAATACAATGCCACGCATATCAAATCTCTTTCCCCCTCTACTTACTGACATATAAACAGACTGCAGTCTGTTATTATATCTGTTATATACACTTGCGAATCGTACTTTACATCGCTACCTAATCAACCAAACTCCACTGTCTTGATAAAGAGACAACTTGGATGCAATTCTCTCATAACGTACATATAGATAAGTGTATTCCTTAGTACATTGTCAAGTCATTTTATATGTTTACTTATTCTTAACATGGGTAATAACTAAGTATTTTTATTTAGGGCCCATCACGAGCAGTAATAAGACTTAATGATTTTTATTGTTCAGGTCAAATACAGTACTTAACTAGGTACTGTTATAATAACTTATTAGAATAACTTTATTCCTAATCCCTATGGACTATCATAATGCCACTTTGTTAAACTCTGAAGAAATATCCAAGTGGATTTTCATTTTAAACGCGTTAATAATTAAATAAAACACTGGAATCACTACACGCATTTCTCGATCAGTCGCTGTTGAACCCGGAGGATTCTCATTATCCTTTTATTAACCTCCAGAGCTCAACAATCTTACGCGATTCGTTATCAAAACAACTCCACGTTGATTCTAAGGGAAGAGTAGTGTAACGCTATTTTTTCATAACCATATAATCTTTGAGGCTGAACATAAAATTGCTGAGACTTGCATTCAATACTCGATACTTAAAGAAGGTCGAAAATGAGGAACATGAGAACAATTTGTTGGTATGGCATGGATCAGCCCTGCGGGTGTGGTCATTCTGTGTAACTAATGCCTTTCCATATTAACTATATTATTTTATTCCCGGCTGAAATCTTTTGTTTAGAAGTACTGGACATCATATTGCTGACCGTCATGACATAACGAGTCGTCATAGGCAATGACGCGACTTCTACTTCAGATCAGATAAACTAGGTTGTCACATCATGACAAATCTACAACTTCAGCGCTTTTCTGGGTTATCGTCTGAACTGGTGATTTCCGCATTTCCGTGGTGTTGGTCTGTTAGGGGTCTCATGAAAGACTCACGATTCAGAGTGAACCATCCGTAAAATCGTACCAGGTTGTTAAACGTGCGTAAGTGCTTAACTGTAATCGGTTCTGAGTATTTGAGAGCGGCCACCCTTTTCTTTTTCTGTCGGTGAATACTTTGAGTGTCAGTAAAGTGCCCAAAAACGTCCAAGCAGTTGGCTAAAACCCAAAATTTCTGAATGCTTACAGTAATGTCATGCTTCTCTAAATTCGTTTGAAAACGAGGTCCAGATTATGGAAATGAGATTCTCTGTCTGGACTTGCGACCAAATAATCATCAACATACACGTACACGAAATCGGAACCCCTAAATACGTTACCGGTGAAACTATGAAAAACTTGTGCAGCGTACCTTAGAGTGAGAGGACGGGCGAAAATTTTAGAGTCCGGAAGAATTACTTATAGCCATTTCACAAATGCCATCTCCAGCCCCAGCCATTAGCTATATGCTCTATGCAGATCGATTTGTCAGAAATCAGTTGAATCTTTCATGATAGCCGTTGGGCAGAGGGTTAAAACTGAAGGTGGCTTTTCCACAAAGTCGTCGGTAATCGCCAGTTAGACACAAATCATTGGTGTCTTTTTTAAAGACCATGTGCAAGGGAGATGCTCATTGGCTGTTTGATGACAGGGTGCTAGTTATATACATAGCTAACCAATCAAATAGTCGTTTAGGTGCCCATCAAGTCAATCTGGTCTGATGTGTCTGTAGACTGTCCCTGTTGCATGTGACCTGCCAGTTGAAGGACATCATTATCCTATTATATTAGTGTAACTCATAATTTCTATTCATTTCGATAAGACACAATACTGGTCGGTATGTTTGTGTGTTCCACTTTTTACCTTTAGAAACAAATAAAGTTTAAAGCCAATTTGTCTTTGTTCTGACAATCGCTTTCACATAAACTCGGGTATTATCGGTATCGCGTTCACAGTTCTAATAGAATATCATACACAGGGTAATTTAACGAATCTTAGACATTCGGAAACTTGTTGACGAGCTTTCGAATAAGCAGTTGATCCTGTAATCGATATGTGGTGTGTAACGTTGCTGGTTACATGTCGTAGTTTCGGTTGCGTTTTGAAAGCTTTTTGTTCAGTGATTTTTGGAAGTGTAGATCGGTTATATGTTTTCTCTTGACTAAGCATGAATTCGGAAAATGAACTTCCACAAATTGATAGTTTAGTACTTCTGTCCAATGACCTTCGTTTGCTTGGATTGATGGACAGCTTGATTTTTGTCAGGTCTATATCAGTGATTGGCATCAAAATGTTTTCAGCGACGAAAAACAAGTGAATGCATCTGTGCAAACTGAAATAAAGTTAACCATACCTTCAGCCATATGTGGCGACTGGTGTTTTACTTACCTTATGAAAGTTGATGAACGGTTCTTGAAGATTTTCACTTGTATTCGTGGGAGGAACGCATAATAATGCACAATGGGCGACGAAATAGATAACTTTAATCATCACATGAATGGTGTATAACAAACATGTATGTCCATCGGCCACGGATGTTTTTAATGCGCGCCGGTCGGGAAAATTCCTGAAAGAGTTTTGTGACAGTATATTTGAGATTGGAAAATTTGCAGGATTCTTAACAATTTCCGGAAGGCTTACTGTGCTTTTTATAACATTCAATAGTTTGGGTGTTCACTCCGTCACAACTAGAGTAAGGTCTATAGTTGGGAGAAAGTAATTACCCAAGGACACGAAAATAATATCACGATGTGTAAGAAAATTAGATATGGTGCTTCAACAAGAAACGGACTGACAATTTATCGTTCAGTGTTCAAGACCACTTCATGCTCATGATCAAAGATCCCACAAGTACATAGGGTTTGACGACATTTTTTTCACATCACTTTTATAATCAGAGTTCGGGATAGAATGAGTTTGAATATGTATTTGGAAGTTTGCCGATACTATGAAAAGCGTTTTATCTAAGTAGGTGAGCAGTTGAAACGGATTATGGCGCAGCGTTCCAATTTGTGATCTTGTACAGCTATGCGATTTAATGTAGGACGTGTCTAGTAAAACTATCAAGGTTTACATCAATGCTGGAGAATTATGAAAAAATTCATCTTGATGATTTTTTCCCTAACAGAAGAAATGGTTAACCAGTTATGTTGCTATGATCCAAATCAGTAAGAAAGTCAGATCTTATGTGAATGCAAAGACCTAAGTTTCAGTATTTATTTTAAACGCAATGGAAATGAACCAGTTGATTTGATTAGGTTGAATTACGGTCTTGCTCATAGCGTTTTTGAGTTAATCTTATTGAGTTACACAAAAAAACTCTTTGAAAAGTTCAAAAAATCTTAATGTGGAGAAAAAAACTTATATGGAAATCACAAATCACCTCAAACAATACAGACTGCGGTATGAGGCTAGGGGATTTTATCGAACGGAATAACGTCTTGAACAGCAAAAGGAATGATTAAAATGTAAGCGTTTAATTCCTGGGAATGGATAAATGTATTATCAGCAAGGTGGAATCAAACATCTTTCTGCGAGAATTCAAGTAACTGTTTCTGGCAGGAAGTAAATTCATTAACCACCAAATTCAGCATCACGTAACCCTGAGTTAAATCAAACACGACCTTATTATCAATAGACGGACAACGTACGACGATGAAATTGCGTAATGAAGGTAAATCTTTATCAACAATGGGATAGTAAAAGTCTAGACAAAGAGGACCGAAGAAAATGAAACGTGTTTACAACAGACCTGAGTAAAAGCCGAAATACAGGACAGGAAGAAAATAAAGAAATAACAATACCCTCCTATAAAACACTTTGGAGGGATTTTCAGTTTATTCTTTCCGTCACAGAAGATACTAAAGAAATTCCGATTTATAATGTGGTTGGCATTCATTACACAATAAGTAAACAAATTATCACTTAAGTATTCCCATTAGTTTTTTATCACATGGTATGTTATTTTAATAAACGTTATATACGTGTCAATATAACAATAAATCATTATGATAAAATGATGAATAGGGCATGTATAAATCACGCTAACCGTAAAGGATCGGTTAATCAAGCAACTTTTACGCTATTTCAGAAAAGTAACGATTTCTCAGAAAGAAGCAAATAATATTTATGATTGGGTTATTTTGTAAACAGCACTTCTAAATACAAAAGAGTTGTTTGATTTCGCTTTAAAAAGGGTTTGGTTAATAAAACGTTAGATTGTAATTGAGTTATTTCGCTAATCCATCAGAAGCGTAAATTGTTTTTACCTGTGCATTCTTTTTAGTTGAGCAATTTATAATTATGACAAAAAATACTTGTCTGTGTAAGCACTCATGTAAATCGGTCATTGTGCTGGAGTAGTGCGCGTTAGGTTTTTTCACATTATGTCAACAACAAATATTTATAAGTGTGCAGTTTAGCTAAACCAGTATCTGAATTTCTTAATGTCATTTGGAAATGACATTGCAAACGTTACTTAGTTATAAAGCCTGTAATTATTTTTCAAATCATCGGTTATCTTTGTTAAACATAATAGACGAACAATAAAAAAACAGCATGTAAATTTTAATCTCAAACCCGAAATAACCGAAGGTTACAAAAATAACCATTTTTGACAAGGATTTGAAATACTG